GGGGGGGGGGGGGGGGGGGGGGGGGGGGATTTTCAGAAATCATTTTTAGGCAATACTATGCGATCCTGCAAGCTTTTCCAGTTGCATAAACCAACCAGGTTTGTAAGTTAAATACAATCCAAGGAAACATGAAAATAGTGCTTTTTTCCCTTTCTTTTTCACACCTATGATTGCTCCGTAGTGCATATTTGCATAAGGCTCCTCTCCGGTGAGGATCTCCCATAGGACAATACCAAAGGAGAATACATCAACCTGCCAAGCAGAAGTAAAAAAATCAGAACTACGTGGCCAATAGCCACATATAATGAGCAGAACTTATGAAAAACGAAACCCATGATTCAATCTACTTTTAGTCATGAAACCAAAAGGGCACTCATACTTTTTGCTCTATAATTATAAGTTGGGTTTTTAAAATTGAAATATTGTTTGGTAGCCTTTTGTTATTTATTTAAGAAGTTAATAACAGAAAAACATATTTGTTCAGCAATTTGGCTTTGTAATCATGGGGAAGGTTGGGGGAGAAGCCCACGTCCCCGAATGATCTCTCGCCCTCAAAGACAGATAGTAGGCACATTGAAGCAAACAGATTTCGGTATTTCTGAATCAGCTTGGCATTGTTACCTTTTTTTGTGTGTTTCCTTACTCTTCTTTGATTCTTCGTTTCTTTTTAGCAAAATCAATTGTTAATTCAAAGTTTGGATGCTGCGTGTTTTAGTTTTAGATGTTTTGTAGAATAACTTTCACGAGCCTTAACTCAAGTTCTTTTATCTGTTTACATTTAGTTTCATATTGATGGAAATCTTATGATAATATCAACATCTCCGTTAATTAATTAATAGAGAAGGGCTGCATCGGTGTCTTATATAGTTAGCTATATAGCCCTAATTCTAAATGAAATGAAGGCTAAATAAACTAATTTATTAAAAATACCTCAGCCAAAATAAAGGTAAATAATAATATAACATCTACTATGAAGACCCTCCAATCACAACTATAGATGGATCAGAAAAGAGACCTAAAAACCGTAAAATTAAATAAACAAAAGTTGGAAATTTCTTGCATTTTCCTATAGTTTCTGTTTTTTGTTTTTTAATCCATAAACCATCAGCAATACATGTTTATTGCTCTTCTTAAGTTGTGATAGTAGAAATGAGTCTAGATATTTTACCTTTTCAGAAACCTTGCTGCTGCTACCATTAAGTAGTTCAGGAGCCATCCACGGAAGGGTCCCTCTCACGCCACCAGTAACTAAGGTGTTCCTCTTTATTTTTGACAAGCCAAAATCTCCAACCTTTATAACAAAACCAAGAGAAAAGTAAAGAATGCAGGTGAAAGAACTCACAAATAAAAATTCTCTTCAAGTACAGTGCTGCATCAAATACCTTGCAAATTGGCCGAAAAGGATCTTTCAAGTTGACAAGCAGGTTGTCACATTTCAAATCAAAGTGCACAATATTCTTTGAATGCAGATATTCCATTCCAAATGCTGCATCCATGGCAATAATGAGCCTCTTACGTCGATCCAGGTACCTGGAACACTTGCATAACATGTAAAGAATGAGAACGAAAAGAGTTCTCCCGAAGACTTGAACATTTCAAGTGTATGCAAGATAACTTGAAACTAAGAGATTACCGGTCTTTGCTAAGTAAAACATTCCGCAAGGAGCCATTGACCATGAATTCAGTCACTGTGGCCAATGTCCCACCTGGCCCATCCTGCACCACTCCATAAAAAGCCACCACATTTGGATGGTGAAGCTTCGAAAGAATGTCAGCTTCACGCCAAAACTCTACAGTCTGAAATTACAAATTCACTATGTAAATTAGAGCATCGTGACATGAAAATAAATAACAATAAAAATAAAAATAAAATCGATTCCTATTCGTTTTAAAATAAACCAACTCAGCAGTACAATGTGACCATCCGTGACTGCAGGCGACATGCTGCCTGCTTGAGCAAATGAAATTGTTGAAAGAGGGATTAGCAATAAGATTGCTGCTACTACACCAACACATATAACCAGCTGCTCTAACAGCTAAGTTTTTCAGAATGCCAGTGGGGGAAATTGTTTGTTGGTTCTACAGTTGATAACGAAAGTTCGAAACTGTAACCTTTGGTTTCCCATCCCACCACTTTGGAAGTATTACACCATCAAACCAGTGTCCAATTGACTACTAAAGGGAGATAATAACCTGTGGGAAACCATTCAAATGAAATTTAACTCACCAATCTTTCTTGCTCTGAGGACCTACAGGTGAAACAGCTTTTCTTTATCCGTTTAATTGCTACATCTGTTCCTCGCCACTTCCCATGATACACTGTACCAAATGTGCCAGAACCCAATTCTCGTTGCTCTTCAAGATCCTCATTCTTAATTATCTGTCAGGCCATCCAAAAGACAGTCAGCAATTTAATGGAGGGAAAGTAAATCAACTCACAACTGTTCAAAGCCTCAACTTCATAGCACTAAACAAAATTAGCATTTTATTATAGATAATCCAATGAAATGTTACAAAAGTGCGGAAAAAAAAAAGGAATGTTCAACTTTTACTTAGTTGCATGTATTAAGGGAATATTAAGGGAATCAAGAGTGAGATTCATACCTGCAATGTACTAATATCAATTTCTTCAAGATAAAAATCAACGAGAGGTACACCAATATCTTGGATATCCAACTTTGCATCCTAAACAAGAAGATATATGGGAAATGCAGTGAGAGGAAAGCAATAATCTGGAGATGCAAATTATAATCGAAAGAATGCAATTGACGTATATCACATTCTCAGCTTGTGGGGCTTTAGAGATAGGTTCATCCAACTGCATGCTTTCATTGTCCTTGAGCTTTGATGAATCATTATCTGTAAATAAATTTGTAGAGCTGGGTCCAGTGAGCAGACGTGATTCCTGCTGAATGTTGTCATCCAAATTGATATGAGAGTCTCTGTGATAAATGGCACCTACATCTGAATTTAAAGGGGGATACCTGTTCATGGTACCCCCTTCTTCAACGTTTTCAAGTGAAGAAGAGAAGCCTGGGTGGTCTTGATCCATAAGGGAAATATCTTTTCCGACAAACTCCTCCTGAACCAAGTTTCTGAAGTATGACCAACGCTTAGGCTCATGATTCTCCACATTCAAGCTCAAGCCAGCTCCATTACCATGCAATGGATTGATGCCAGAAATATTTTCCGAGTTTCTGGCTTTTGAGAATATATCAGAAAGGAAATCACGTGGAAAGCGGTCATTAATATCAATAAGAATGTCCCCGTGCTCTGAAGTGCCAATACCAACTCCAGGCTCTACATGAGTAACATTCTTACCAGGGTTCTCTGTCAAGGATGAAGACTCTGCATGCTCTTGAGTTTCATTTCTATGGTTCTTATGTGTACTTCCATCAATCCAGCCTGATTCTAATGGATCCATGGAAGATTCCTCCTTATGTTTGTAAGAAACTTCTTCACTTGCCGGGGCCAAACCACCTGTTTCCTTCCTATAGGCAGATGGACTTTTAATATTGGACATATCACTGACCTCAGACCCATCATGCTCACCTGAAATATTCATTGTCTTATTATTCGCATCTGCTGATGTTTTGTACTTTTCAAATGCCCCTAATCCATCTTCTAGAGCTTGACAATTTCCACGTGTTACCCCTGCCTTTGAAGATGAAACAGATTGCTCAGACTGCAAAGTCACATTCCCATCAAGCAATGGTTCAGCAGATTCAGTAAGTGTCTGAGAATAATCAGTGTTTCCCTGAGTTCTCAGAAACTGAGAGCCAAAGGAATCATCAGACTTGGATAAACGGTTCAATTCAGCCTGCTCCCTAGGAATCCTTTCAGAGTGAAAAACACGCGGAGGTAAAATTGGTTCAGTGTAGCTAAATTCTGTTTCATCAGCCTCAGAGGCACCAAACCCAGAGGTTGGAAGTCCATCGGATGAAAATTTATCTTCAGTCCTCTTGTTCCCTCCATTACTTGCTTCCAAAGGCACTGATTCTTGAGAAGGATCCTGATGCTTGTTGCTTTTCATAAGCAGAAAATTTGATCCTAAATCTGTGTCCGAATTAATTACTTGCACTGCTTTTGAGTTATAGCTCAAAATAGAAGCATCACTTGGGTTTGATGAAGCTAAGTATTCGTGTTCAAATTTTTGACTTTCATTAGTTTCATCAATTTTGTGGAGCGAACCTTCCCCTTTCATTTGTGCATCCTTAAATGATACCTCCTTCTCCAATGATTGGATTTTATCAGGTTCACTCAGCTTTGAAGTTGAGGTCTCTGTAATTTTCCCCTCCTTTAATAGTGCATCTGAATCTTTTGCGTGAAAACCACTGACAGGATAGTCTGTAGCCAAGCCACCATGCTCATACACATATCCCTTGCTGGGCACTGAAGATATATTTTCTACAGGTGTTGCATTGTTATTAAGAACGTAATCATGTTGGGACTGAATAGATGAAGGGACTGAAGATTTTCCAACTTTTTCAGGTAAGCACTGCATGGGGTGTAAAGATGAGAGTTGGGAAGGCCCAAGTTCACCTTGCTGCAACTTTTGTCCAGACGATGGCTGCAAATTGGACTTAAAACCACTGGAGAAATTTGTCCAAATGGTTTGAGAAGATTGAGAAAATGAAGGTGCAGCTATGGTCAAAGATGATTTCATGTTATCAGGCAATTCTGGGGCAACTTGACCATTCTCTGATCCAACATTGAGGGCAAGTAGCTCGTCTATATTGTTTCCTGGAGTATTACCCAAGGGCGTTGAGTTCCTTCTTGAACTGAGGTCCATACCATTTACAGCAATTACATATTCAATCTCTGAACCACCCTCTGTACTACCAACACCAATTTGAGCATCCTCCAAATCAGAAATAGAAAACAAGAACATTCTCGGCTTTGTTGACCCCCCATTTTCTGGTACGTTACATTCCTCCATCATGTTCTGCAAATCCTCATCACAAGATACAGAAACCAATGCATCAAGATCCTCACCAGGTAGCTGATATTTAATAGTGTGAACTTGATCATAAATTGTTGATGTTTTCTGCAGCAGATTCGACCAAGAAATATCCTTGGTTATATGGATAATACGTGTTTCACCCCCAGCATATCTAAGTTTACCATCACTAGGGCGAGGCATGATTTTACCACCAAAACTGCACAGGAATTTCATCTTTCTTGTAGAGCTATCAGATGCTCCTGAAGATGTAAAACCATGAAGCCGACTGACATCATTTCTGGATGAGGCTCTTGGGACAAACCTCATTGAATTATATGAACTTTTTTCTTCATGTGACAAGCCCCCTCTTTCAAAATGTTGGACGTGATCTTTTTCTACAGGGTTGAGCATGGCAATGCTAGATCCACTCTCTGAACTTGCATGGGGAATTCCCATAATGCCTTTTAAATCCATGTACCCAGTTGAGACACCCAGGTCAGGACTATTGGTGGGAATAAAGTGATGCTTGGCATTCACCCTTTCCCGCATAAATTCAAGTGCAAATTCCTCGCCAGTTTGAATGGAGTAATTGTGGCCAGGACTAGCTCCAACTAGCATATTATATTCAGGGGGTCGAATGTTAGTGCTGATGTTGCTTGATGGATCTTGGAAAGATCTTTGATTTGTAGACCCAACTCCCTGATTTCTTGCTTCCAAATTAGTAAGTCGAACTTGTTCATAGTTACTATGTTGATCTATGGTACCTCTTTTCACATTTCTTTCCATCTAGTTAGACTTGATGGGGACAACCTCAACAAAAAATGCCATGAATAAGACACAGTGCAGTATCGGCAAAACCATACGCTTGAAGTAACAGAGAGCTTCAGCATTCAGATAATCATCTTGCAGATTGTAATCTTGTCCACCAATGTGAAGCTTCAGCACTCGACTGAAAACCTGGAGTCCATGTGTTCAAAGTTAGAAAATGTCTGGTGGGATAATCAGCATTCAGGGAGAATAAAGGAGAATCAAAATTCAGCTTCCTTGATCCATTTCAGAGGCGGTGCCCTAGATTTATATAGCTTTATCAAAAGAATACTTCTGGTTATAGATAATAATAAAATACAGAAATAACATAAAAGACCGGTAAACGTGTGTGATGGCACATATATATCTAACAGTATAAATAACATGATGAAGGTAAAGGAAAATCTTTGATCAAAGTTTCTATCTTGACTATGTTATTTCTGCATAATATATGTATGATTGTAACTCAGACGCCACTGGGCAGCACAATTGCAATAGTTATAGCACTGCAATAGTATATTAGCAATGACTGGAAAATGCTGAAGGGCCGTTCAGGAACATTGCTGAACTTTCCTTAGCATCCAAAAAGCTAGTATAGTTGACGTTTTGGTGAGTGAAATGGTGAGTTTTATTCTTATCCTTAACAGGTATTGAGCTCATGGATCCGTTATTTAAGTGATGCACAGGCATAATAGATTATCAAAGTGTTCGGTGAGCACCAACAAGGCTAATATGGTGTCTTTCAGGATAGAATTGATCTCTTAAACTCCATTTTGCCTACCTCGAGTGGAATGTATATTCGTCTCTAAGAAATTTATTTTTATAAGAGAACTCAAGCAACAAGATTTTTCTCGGTATTAGATTGTAATCTGTAAATGAGCAATATGATGCATGAAAGGAAAGCTCAAGATTTCATAACGCCCATTCGAAACATTATAAAAACTGGAACCATATACGGAAAAACAATAGACATTAGACCGAGTAAGCCTTCAGCCTATAATAACCAATCAAGCAAAAACCTGAACAAAAACCCAATTGAGTAGAGTAATAAGATATTCCCAAAGCTGGCCGACGCTATCGCAAATTGCATAACAGCAGCCGCCTCATCCAGCGCCCGGAAAACACATAAATAGACTCGATTCTTCAACTGTTAGCTATCAACCAGTTTAATTGGCTCAACAAATGTATGATATAGCAAAATCGAATATCGAATCGCATGTCGGATTAAAGAAGCGGGATATCACAAATCGAATCACAAATCAGAATAGAAAACTCGCAATCAGTTTGCTTCGGGAAAGATCAAGCTAATGTTTTCACTCATGAGCACGAGCAGGAAAAAGAGCGTCATTTCAAGAACTTACCAGCAGATCCCAAAGCAACAATGGACTGTGAGATTTGAATTTTGCTGCAAAACAAGAAGGGCAGGTCTAATCGGGTGTCGTCCCTCTCTTTCCACGCGAGTGTGCCTTTGTACTTTATCCTCCCAAGCTTCGACTTTCTTTATATTTTTTTTGCCTACTTTCTAATTTTACAACATGGTTAAATTTTGCGAAATTTTCTACACAAAAAGAAAAATTAATAAACTAAATCCATATATTTAAGCTATTTTAAAATATATAAACTTAAATTATATCACACTGTAATTTAATATTTGTTGAACATCTCATCGAGACGCTAACACCGTGAATTAGTCAATGATGCTATAAGCCACAGTTCAGGGCCAAAGCAAAGTAGGCCCAATAACTTTTTGGGCCAGTGCTGTTATAAGGCAAAGTTCAGACCAAAGCAAAGTAGGCCCAATAGTCCTTTGGCCCAGCGCTGTTATAGAGCACAGTTCAGGCCGAGAAAAGGAGGCCCAATAACCTTTTGGGCCAGTGCTGCTATACTGCAAAGTTCAGACCAAAGCAAAGTAGGCCCAATAATCTTTTGGGCCAGCGCTATTATAGATCACAGTTCAGGCCGAGAAAAGGAGGCCCAATATTGTCTTGGGCCAGTGCTGCTAGACGTCAAAGTTCCGACCAAAGCAAAATAGGCCCAATAATCTTTTGGGCCAGTGCTGCTATAAGGCGAGTACGGAAAAATCCCGAATGCGAGTACTTCAATATCTCTCTTGCCCTAACCTCCAAAACTGCGAATCGGGAATTCCGATACTCGCTCCGAAAGCACAGCATCTTCCTTTGAGCTTTCGAGTAACCAATAAAAGCACCTGTGAGTTTCTCTAAGAACTGATTTCACGTTCATTAGTATCATTTTCAGTTTCTGGGTTGATTACCAGACACTGAGCTCCTCAGCTGCCACTTCCTATTACATGTTTCTTTGTATGTTATTTTTAGCTATAGTTCATGTCTCTTTCTTTTGGCGTTTAGTGTGGAATTCTGAACTTTTTCCATTTTGTTTTGTAATTAGAGCGACCCAATTGCCCATTTCTGAACTTAAGGTCTTTACTCTTGTGAAATGCTTTCATTGTCAATTACTTTTAACAAATACAATCATATCTTGATTGATTCAGGTGTATTTTCGAAAGGGAAGTGTAGATTTACATAAGTTCTGTTAGAAATTAATTGAGCTAGAAACATACTACAAAGCATGATCTTGTAATTTCTAGACACATGAATTCCTAGATACTTGGATGTTCTTTTTTAAGGTACATGAATTGCATACATACATTGTTTAATTTGTGTCTTTTAGAGATGTCTCTTGGGTATTATATAAAGGATCATTTCTCTCATTTGTAACAAATTTATGTTATATCCATCAAGATAGATCTCGAACAGCTGTGAGAGCCACCAAAGAAACAATCACCGGCCTAAATATGGATGATAATTCAGTGCACTGTGGCAAAGAAATGTGTACTAGAGATGGCACAGACAGTTCTTCTCACATGGTAGGAAAAGAAAATACAGGGCCAACCGTCAATATGGATATGCCAAAATATAGAAACATAGAATACTCACAGAATGTACTCAACTTGAAGTCTTTCAGAATCGTCGAGCCTCGTGAAGGAATGGAATTCGAATCGAAGGAGAATGCTTTTACATTCTACAAGGAATATGCCAAATCATTTGGTTTTTGTGTTATAATAAAGGCTAGTCGTAGGTCCAGAATATCTGGAAAGTTTATTGATGCAAAATTTGCCTGTACTAAATATGGAGACAAGAGAGAATCTGGTGTGGTTGATGTTTCAGATCCTGTAACAAATTCAAATAATGGCATAGGTGTTCATGGGAAGAAAAAACGAGGTAGAACCAATCGGTCGTGGGAGAAAACCGATTGCAAGGCTTGTATGCATGTCAAGAGATTGCAAAGTGGAAAATGGGCAATTCATAGTTTCATAAAGGAGCATAATCATGAAGTTTTTCCAGATGAATCCTATTATTTTCGTGGTCACGGAAATTTAGAAGTCGGTAGCAGTAACACTGATGTCTTGCATAGCAATAGAGCAAGAAGAAAAAGTAAGCTTTGTATGAAGTCCAAGCTGTCTGGAGGTTGTACAATAGCCAAGAAGCAAAACGTTGTTGCCATTGATCAAGTATGTAAGGCGCGACGTCTGGCTATAGACGAAGGCGATGTTCAAGTTATGTTAGACCATTTTGTTTGTATGCAAGATGAAAATCCTAACTTCTTTTACTCTATTGACCTGAATGAAAAGCAGTGTTTAAGAAATTTGTTCTGGGTTGATGCAAAAGGCAGACTTGACTATGCCAATTTTGCGGATGTCGTTTTCTTCGACACCACGTACATTAAGAACGAGTATAGATTATCGTTTGCACCTTTTATAGGCGTTAATCACCATTGTCAGTTCGTTTTGCTCGGATGCTCATTGGTTGCTGATGAGACCAAGTCTACATATGCTTGGCTGATGCGGGCATGGCTTAGATCAATGCATAAATGTCCTCCAAAAGTGATCCTCACTATACAAGATGAAGCCCTTAAGGAAGCCATTGCGGAGGAATTGCCTAATTCTTTCCATTGTTACTGTTTGTGGGACATTTATAGCAAGATACCAGAAAAGCTTAGTCATGTAATGAGACAACGTGAAAATTTTATATCAATGTTCGACGAGTGTATTTTTAAGTCTTGGACAATCGAAGAGTTCGAAAAACGGTGGCTAAGAATTGTTGACAGGTTCGAACTAAGTCATGATTCATGGTTTAAGTTGCTGTATGCAGATCGTAATCGATGGATACCTGCGTGTTTGAAAAACATTTTTTTGGCAGGGATGTATACACGCCATAGGCCAGAAGGTATCAACTCTTTTCTTGACAAGTACATACAGAGAAAAACATCACTTAGGGAATTCTTAGACCATTATAGAACATTTGCACGAGATAAATTCGAAGAGGAAGGAAAAGCAGATTTAGAAACTTTGCATAAACAGCCAGGATTGAAGTCTCCATCTCCTTTTGGGAAGCAAATGGCTGGATTATACACGCATGCAGTATTTAAAAAGTTCCAAGTGGAGGTTTTAGGAGTAGTTGCTTGTCATCCAAGGAAGATAAGCGAAGATGGAGTGATAAAAGTTTTCAGGGTTCAAGATTTTGAGAACAACCAAGACTTTCTCGTGGAGTGGAACGAAGCAACTTCGGATATCTCCTGTTTATGCCGATCGTTTGAATTCAACGGTTACCTCTGTCGACACGTAATGATTGTTCTGCAAATCTCTGGTATACATTGTATTCCTTCTCAATATGTATTGACTCGTTGGACAAGGGATGCAAAGAGTAGACAACAAACCCGGAAAGGATCTCATGTCGAGTCGAGAGTACAACGGTATATAAATCTTTGTCAGCAGGCGTTTAGATTGAGCAATGAAGGGTCCTTGTCCCATGAGAGTTATAACGTTGCGTTTGATGCTTTGGAAGAAGCTTTGAGGAAATGTGAGAGTTTGAATGTCTCAATCCAACCATCCCTTGTAGCTCATAGTAGTAGTAGCCATGAATCAGAAGAGGTAAACCAGGGTAAGAACGCTAACAAGGACAATAAAAAGAACACGACCAACGTAAGCAGACAGGTAATTCAGTTTTCAGGCATTTTAAATGCTTACTACTTGAGACACTATTTTCAAATCTCATTCATTTCAGCATTCATTTTCCACTTGTTTAGGATTGTTTTGAGCCAGAAATTAACACTGTCAGGATTCATGATGGCTGGCAACAATTGGTCAGTTTATTGTTATGTTTGCATTGTAGCCTGCTCGTATATGATCTGAATTGTTACGTCGGACTAATCGTTTACGACTTCTTGCTTGCTGGGACAACAAATTCACAGGCACCAGCCCTTCACTACCCTGATGAACAGGGGGACTCACAAGGGGTAGTACGGCTCACTCTCGACGCCCTCTGATACTATTTGAAATATTTGATACTGTTTAAAATTGTATCATTTATACTCCTAGGAACATAGGTGCAGAAAAGCTCCATCTCTTGAGAGCTATAGAGCTGCTCAACAACAGCTTATGCATGGAATGGTAAGACAAGATTTGATTGTGTTTCAGACAAGACAACTGCTTTAGTCTGTTAGTGTCCAAGGATCCTTGTTTGTGTTGTACTAGGAAAAAGACAGTTCCATCGCTTCTAGCCGCGGGTTGTTTCGAGCATCGACATAGCATACGAGGGGCAGGGAATCGATTCATACGACCTCTGCATGGAGTCGTAAGAGATGTTTGAATATCATCTATTCCACTTTTACTGACATTATTAGTTGAACAAAACAAACAAAACGTCGACTTGTAGGAGCAATCGAACTTCAAACCCGACGCAATTTCAGGTCGCTTAGACCTTCAAGTTGGTCAACAGGATGTGGTACTAAAATTGTGTTTCATCTCCTTGTCTGTCTTTTATGTTCTCCATTGCTACGGTTTAAAGTTTACGTGTTCACTTCTCTTGCAGGACCCATCTAGCGCGGAATCCACAAAAGTTCATAGCATTTCATCCAATCAATGCAATTGAGAATCTTTTTCCATAGCCGATCATCTACAGCAGTAACCATCTTTAGTGTACATGAATCCGAACCCGAACATGAAATCTTAGTATCAACCGTTCGAGTATCATACTCCTTCCATTTACTACTTGTCATGGCAAAAGTAGAAACTACCTAAGAAGTAAGAATATAGATATAATACAACACGAACTATGTTCATATATCTAACATATTATTTTTCATATATGTGTCTATTTAGTGTACATCTAACACGTGTTCGATATGTATCTAATGAATGTTAAACCTATATTAACTTTGTACAACTAGTGTCTAACTCGGCAATTGTACTAATAATAATAATAAATATAATATAATAATAAACTAATATTAATATTAATTTTGTATTGTTTAATATTTGTCATGAAGTGCACGCCATTATCTGGCAATAATTTGTATTGCAATATAAAATTCTACAGGCATGAAAAATGATGCATGGGTTTGTGAAAATCCATTTATTATTATTATTTTAGGCCGTTTTCTATCATAAATTCTACTATTATTTTAAAATATGATGGGATAATAATATAAAATACTATATTTATCCAAATTTTTAAAATCGAATTTTAGATTTTAAATTTTGAATATATTTGAAAGCAATAAAAAAATGTAGAAAGGGCATTTCTGGCATTTGGATTTGAATTGGCACCGTTGCCTCATCCCCAACTACCACCGCCGTCAAAAGACGACAAACAAAGATCAACTTTTGCAGAGCTCCGTGCTGTTACAGTCTCCAGTGGTGGAGAAGCTCCAACTTTCAAGGTGAAAGCATTTGTCCTTTTTCACTTTTAAATTATTCAATGATTTCTCCGATTAATTGCATCCAACAATTTATAATTAAATTAAATTGTTTTAAAGAGACAAAACTGAAAATAATGAAGAGCAAAATTTTCATTTTTTTTCTTCCCACAAAAAACGTGAAATTTGATCGTCTGCATAAATAAGTTCTCCGTGTTTGTTCATAGCACCGAAATTTGGCAGCCAGAACCCTAACTCTGCGGCCCCGCCACTCATTCAAAGTGAAGTAGACGGAGATCATATCACTCTCCTCTGAAGAGTTTCGAAACTTCCTCATTCCAATATTAGGTGACTTTTTATTGCTTATCATCAGCTCTCGTTTCCCATTTTCGTTTATGGGTTTATTATTTCTTCGTTGGGCGGTTCTTTGTGTGCGTGGTTTGGTCTGTTGATTTATTTATTCGCTTTTAGTTCAAATGAGGCCGAGGATTCGACATCGTGGAGGTCACTGATGACGTTCTATTTCACTTTGAAACTTGTTTCTTTTGTACTCTGTTTATGGGTTCTATGCAAATTTGAAAGCTCTGAACTGGGAAATAACAAGGATGAAGTACTCATCCCACGTGTTGGGCAGTGGAACGAAACATTCTTAAGTCCAAAGAGGACAATAACCTTAGCCGAGGGTTTGGGTTGTTACAAATGGTATCAGAGTTAGACACGAGCTGGAGGCTGAACTTTGAAGGAGAGTGGACACAAGACGTGTGTCAAGAAGGATGCTGGGCACTGAAGGGGGATGGATTGGGGGGTCCCACATCGTTGGATAAGGGAACGTGTACCAGCAAGGATGCTGGGACCCGAAAGGGGTAGATTGTGAGATCCTACATCGATCAAGAAGGAAAACAAAACAATCTTTATAAGGTTTATAAGGGCAAGGAAACTTCTTTGTAGCAGACACGTTTTAAAAACCTTAAGGGAAAGCCCGAAAGAGAAAGCTTAAATAGTACAATATCTGCTAGTGGTAGGCGTGGGCTATTACACACCCTACTTGTTTTCGCAATTTTGTGCCCATTTCTTAATATGTTCATTTGTGTTGTGTTTGAAGTCAAAGAACACATTTTTTCCACTTTTTTTCACCTCAAACTTCCTGCAACTCAGTGGAAAACGGTCTATGGTTGGTAGTTTTCTTTTGGTAATGTATTGAAGGAAAAAACGAGTTCCATTATATTGGTATTACTTTGTATTGTTGGGTATCAATGTCAATCCACAGCTTACCAACCAATGTGAATTTTATTGATATGTCCTAAGTAGACAAAGGAAGCACTGGCGGCTTGACAGGCTCAGTTGGTATAAAGAAACCAAGCAACAAAAGGGAAGGAGTGATAGCAATGCTTAGTTCTGTTGTTGCTCATTCTCCTGCCACGCCTATCACTGCTATTTCACTTGGAGAACCCCGTGCTCGGTTCTTTCTTAAGGAACCCAATCCTTCGCCTCTTCTTGTAATGTGCAATTGTTTTCTATGTGATTTTCTGTTTAAGTTTTGGTAGCATTAAACCGTAATCTGGGTTTCTTACTCTTCAAATTTCTTAACAGACTTCATTCTCACGTAACTCTCTCCATACTCAATCTGTGCAACGACGGCCTTGCTTTACTTTCAAAGTCATGGCTGATGGTGAAACCATCACTTATTCTTCGAAGATCACCTTTCCATCTGGTTCTGGTACTATCCTCTTGTCCTTTTTGTTTAGAACATCGCATTTTCTATACCTTACTGTTGTCTGCTGCTATTACAATTTCAGGAAAGAAACTAGCTCTGATATCACTGTCAGACAAGAAAGATCTTGCATTTCTAGGAAATGGGCTTCAGGAATTGGGGTGAACTCTCCTAAACTTATTGTGCAATTTTGTTTTAAGTTCTTTGATTCATATATCTTATGAACTTGCAGCTACACAATTGTTTCAACTGGGGGAACCGCATCTACATTGGAAACTTCTGGGGTGCGTGTTACTAAGGTGGAGGAGCTTACTTGTTTTCCTGAAATGGTATGCTGCCTTTTCTCTTGTTTATTCAAATTCCGAATGGAAAGGTTTACACACTTTTATAAAGAATGATTTCTTCTCCTCCCCACCGATGTGGAATCTCACAATCCACCCTCCTTCGGGTCCCAGCGTTCTTGCTGGCACACCATCTCGTGTCCACCCCCTTCGAGACTCAGCCTCCTCGTCGGCACATCACTCGGTGTCTGGCTCTGACACCATTTGTAACAACTCAAGTCCATCTTAGCAGATATTGTCCTCTTTGGGCTTTCCCTTTCAGACTTTTCCTCAAGATTTTAAAAATGCGTCTGCTAGGGAGAGGTTTCCACACCCTTATAAAGAATGCTTCGCTCTCCTTCCCAACCGATGTGAGCTCTCACTCGGTGTCTTGGCGGACCATTTTTTAGATGTTAGTCATGAATTTTGGTTTGTGGTGGCAGCTTGATGGCCGTGTAAAAACTTTGCATCCTTCTATACATGGGGGCATTCTTGCTAGAAGAGACCAAAGGCATCATATGGACGCCCTGAAGAAACATGGAATTAGTGAGCTTTATGTGATCAATCTCTAGAATTCTTATGTGGCTCCTAAGTTTCAATTGCAAAGCATGGCCTTAGTTGCTGCATATCTTGCTTCCTGTTTTCTGAAATAGTTTCTCTGCAGGCACATTTGATGTTGTGGTGGTAAACTTGTATCCTTTCTATGAAAAAGTCACCTCATCTCGAAATCTTAACTTTGAAGATGGTATAGAGAACATTGATATTGGTGGCCCAGCTATGATAAGAGCTGCTGCAAAGGTAAAATATGAGCGAAGTTGATCTTGGGATTCATATTAGCTTCTTCCTGATCTAGAACCTCCGATTCTAATACCACTTTAAATCATCAATCGACCCAAAAGCTTAAACTAATAGAGTGTTGCATATTGATACGTGCACGAACGTGCATATGCAGAATCACAAGGATGTTTTAGTGGTCGTAGATACCGAAGACTATCCCGCACTGCTCGAGTTTCTGAAAGGAAGTGAGGATGATCAACAATTTCGCAGAAAGCTTGCTTGGAAGGCATTTCAACATGTAGCTTCTTATGATTCAGCAGTCTCAGAGTGGCTGTGGAAGCAGACTGTTGGAGGTAAATTCCATGTTTCATCTGTGCCAAATGCATAATCGCTAGAATGGTTCATCCCTCTTTACAAAAGTCCTCTGTGTTTGTTGGTAGATAAATTTCCTCCCAGTTTTACTGTGCCTCTTTCCCTTAAAAGTTCTCTTCGTTATGGGGAAAATCCTCATCAGAAGGCTGCCTTTTATGTTGATAAGAGTCTTTCTGAGGTCAATGCGGGTGGTATTGCAACAGCAATCCAACACCATGGGAAGGTGAGTAAGTATAAACTGTAAGGGTTTAAATATGATCATGGAATTGCATCATTATCATCCAAAACATTAGGCTTCTCCTAAGTATGCACAAAGTTTATATGAAAACTTGTGTTTTGTGCAGGAGATGTCATATAATAACTACTTAGATGCAGATGCAGCTTGGAACTGTGTATCAGAGTTTAGGAATCCTACCTGTGTAGTTGTGAAGCACACAAATCCGTGTGGTGTAGCTTCACGTGATGATATTCTGGAAGCATATAGGCTGGCTGTGAAAGCTGATCCCGTGAGTGCATTTGGTGGCATTGTAGCCTTCAACGTAGAAGTTGATGAGGTTGGTATGTTTTCTTTTCTTAGAACATGTTTTGAGGACCAGTGTTCTGTCTTGATTTAATGCTTTACCTTAGGCTCTTGCAAGGGAAATTCGGGAGTTCAGAAGCCCGACGGATGGTGAAACTCGGATGTTTTATGAGATTGTTGTTGCACCGAAGTACACAAAGAAAGGGCTCGAGATCTTGCGTGGGAAATCGAAGACGCTACGAATTCTGGAGGCAGCCAAAAATGAGAAAGGAAAGCTATCACTCAGGCAAGTTGGTGGAGGATGGTTAGCACAGGATTCTGACGACTTGGTTCCACAAGATAGACAATTTAATGTAGTTTCTGGAAAGGCTCCTCAAGAAAGTGAGCTTCGGGACGCAGAGTTTGCATGGCTGTGCGTTAAGCATGTTAAGAGCAATGCCATTGTGATAGCAAAGGTTGGTATATTATAACTCGAGTCGTTAATGACACGTTTGGCTTCTGTTGGGAAACTTCTGATGCTGTCATTTTTTGGCAGAATAACTGTATGTTGGGTATGGGAAGTGGGCAACCAAATCGTCTCGAGAGCTTGAGGATAGCCATGAGGAAAGCAGGGGATGAGGTCAAAGGAGCGGCTCTGGCTAGTGATGCGTTCTTCCCATTTGGTAATTTCTGGGAATCAAATCTCTTAGTAGTCAATTTGTTCTTATGTGTGTGCAACTTTGGTTGGCAGCTTGGAATGATGCAGTCGAAGAAGCATGCCAGAGTGGAGTAGGGATTATTGCAGAGCCTGGAGGCAGCATTCGAGATCCCGATGCTATCGACTGCTGCAACAAGTATGGCGTGTCCCTCGTCTTCACCAATGTGAGGCATTTCAGGCATTGATATCTGTTGCTCGTTAGTCGTCCCTGGTTTCCATCCCCTGAAATTTTAAAGCTTGGTTGGGACACCACGAAATATGAAGATCATTCGTCCTAACTTATTGCAGAGGTTTGGCATGGTTGTAAAATAAGCAATTTCAAGTCACTAAGTAGGTTAAAATATATCCTATGACTTATAATAATGAAACGCCTCTGAGTACCTTCGAACTCCCAATCTCGTACATATGTGTGATTCCAAGTGATGCCTCCGACTTGTCAAGAACTTAAAACACAAAATTGAAAGTTTCAAAGTCTAAGTATACTCCTCAAAGACGAATAGTTTTTCATTATTCGATATGAAAAGAACTCTAAGCATTTGGAGAAAGACAATGGATGACCGACCAAAAGAATACATTCATTCCAAGATCACCTTTGCACCAAGAGCCTTCATTTTTTCAATTAGTTGTTCACCCTCTTCCTTTGATAGTCCCTTCTTCAACACCGACGGGGTTTTCTCCACTAGATCCTTCGCTTCTTTAAGGCCTAAATCAGTGAAACTTCTTACCTCCTTGATAATTTTAATCTTTGCAGCCGCTTCATAAGACTCTAGTTTCAACTCAAAAACAGTCTTTTCTGTCTTCTTCTCCTCCTTGGCAGTGGCTGATGAGGCCTTTGTTGCCATTCCAGCCAATCCGGCAGCTCCTGCCTTCATAACTCCAACAACTGGCATGTCTGTCATTCCTAATCTTTTCCTCAAAATGGAAGATAATTCAGCAACTTCAACTAATGTGAGTCCAGATATTTCATCTACAAGCCTAAAAACGCGATCGGTTGGAGGACTACGATGCTGTGTTGGATCAAAATTAGCTGGATCGTAGTCAGCTGGAAGCCTTCTCTGGTCAATTTCCACCTCCTCCTCCTCCTCTATCCAAGCAGGTTGAGAAAAATCTCTATGTAATCCATTTACATTGAGAGGATTGAGGGCAAGTGCAGGAGAGCGAAAGGTGTTTGCCAACACATTGGGTAGGAGATGACTTATTCTTAAAACTAAGCGCATTACTCAAGTTGCCAAATTAACTTTCCCTCTGAAGTAGCAAGCTATTTAGCTCAAGCCCATTTCTGGCTTCTGCAAGGACAATTCAGTGGCCTAGATAGACAAGAAAAAGAACAAACAAATTAATCAACGAGAACAGAGAATTATAGACCAGATCTTAGTCAAGAAGACGAGTATTTATTTTTTATTTTTCTCAAAGCCACGCCCACTCCAAGGCCCTGACTTTGGAGATCGAAGAGTTTTTGTAACGGTCCAAGCCTACCGCTAGCAGATATTGTCCTCTTTGGATTTTCCCTTCCGGACTACCCCTCAAGGTTTTAAAACGCGTTTACTAACACCCTTATAAGAAATGTTTTGTTCCCTCTCCAATCGACGTGGGATCTCACAATTTTGGGTTTTCTTTCTTAGGCAACCTACTGGTAGGTTTTACTCAAAAGACCGTGGCGCGGGCCTCGCCTACAGGCCGCCTGTTGGGTGCATCGAGAAAACATGTAATTAGATTTCATTTAGTCCTTCAGATACAAGTATAATTTTCAATATACTACCCAGAAAAATGACGATAGAAACTTCTACAAAATTTTTGACATCAACTTTCACACTGTTTAAGCACTACTTTAATCTATCTAAATAAATTTATAGAAGTCGTCAGCTCACAGGTATAACAAGGAAAATATTACATATTTACATATAACTTAACAAATATTCCGCATTCATATACAATGACAAAAGATGGTAAAATTCATAACAGAACCATTGTTTGTACACCATCATGTACGATGTATTCCCGATTACAAATCAAAGCAAATCATAGCACAACAAAGCAAACTGAAGCAGAGAAATGCCACCTATCGTGACACTAAGACCTTGTTCCTCAACCAAAACAGATAACCTATATTACCATAAACAAAATACTCTACTCAAGCAACTGACCTTTTCAACATTAACTGGAAACAAAACGTCACAATAAGACAGAATCAAAGTTCAACTCATCAAAACACTAATCCAATAACAGACTTGCAGAAAGCACTAAAAAAAATGAAATTCAAGATTATAAGAACTTACGCTAAGAGATGAGATTTAAACTCTGAGGGAGGGAAACTGAATGCGACGCAGAGATGAAACCGACGCCCTGAGAGAGGTGACGTGGTGGTTGAACTGTGCCGTGAGGATTGGTGGGTTGCCGGTATAATGCTGAAGAAGCTTCAATCTTGTCCAGAAAGGCAGGTGATTGAGCTCCAGAGATGCAATGTTTTAGATCAATGCCAAATTAGGGCTCCCATTTCGTATCTCAAAAAAAAAAAAAAAAAAAAAAAAAAAAAAAAAAAAAAAAAAAAAAAAAAAAAA